GATCAGAAACAGTTGATCATGTAGCATGTAAGTATTAGTGTGCACTGCAAGGTTCTGGAGTCATCAAAATCATAATAAATTTGACCGAGTCTTGGTAAATTAACACGCACTGTACACAGAAAGCTATATATATGGGACAGCACACATGGTGTCGGGGCTAGTACTACCTTGATTTCCTTGTCTTTCTATGCTCATTACTCAGCCAGTATACATTTTCTTCCAAAATTGTTTGGCACATGTCATTTATTTGTAATCTTGAACAATATTCAGTGCAAGTTTCGTTTGATTCTGTGAGAATTAATTTTCTTTTTACCAGAACTGGAGTTTATCTTTAAGAAACACAAAGGTACCACATCCACTACAGTCCGGCTCTAGGCTATCCTCTTGTCGATGGCCCTAGCGCTGTCGAAGTCCATAAATTCTGGCGAGCACTTCTGTTTCTCTGGCGAGCGAAGCGAGCCAGAAATTACGGACTCCAACAGCGCTAGGGCCATTGACAAGAGGCTAGATCTAGACTGAATAATTTGGGGGATACTAGTAGTAGACCCCTAGTAGATCTACTAGATTTAGATTTAGATTTTATTTTTAGGCTTAGATCTAGATCTAGACCTAGATCTAGACTTAGATCTAGCCTAGGCCTATCAATTATCATCTTTTTCATCGACAACCAGGCATGACAACGTGTGTTAATGTTAGATGGCTACGAGTATAGCCTAGTGAAATCTACTACTAGTACTATACTCTAGAAATTGTTTGTGTTCTTGCAGTTTATTGCAGGAGTTGCTGTTTCGATACTTAGGTTGCAATAAAACTGAAATTTGCGGTTAGTAAACCCGACAGGGCTTGCAACGAACACTCACGTTCACGTATCACGTGATCACGTATCACGTTTTGCGCTGTTTCGTAAAATAGGTGACCCTAATTTACGAAGTGTAGGGTCTACCATTCGTTGTTTTCCACGCCGGTAAAACACGAATGATCACGTCTTCCAAAAAGTGACGTGAGTGTTTAATCAATATTTTTATAATTGCAAGCGCTTGTTACTAAGACTAGTCATGACGTCACCGTAATATGTATGATTTGTGTGTACGTACCATCGAAATCCAAGTAAGTAGAAGGATTTTCCGAGACCGCTGAATTGCACCGCCGTGCGCCATCTTAGATAGAACGAGCGTTGTGAAAGCGAACTGCGACTACGTGCTATGTGTATGCTCAACTTTCGTCTGCAAAATGCCATATTGTGCAGCTTTCAACTGCACCAATCGCCTTAAAAGAGGCTCTGGAATAACCTTTCATAGTTAAGTGATCACTTCATTAAAAACATGGCAAAAATAAACAGTTTTGCATGATAATCCGAACGCAGAAAGCCACAGACTAAAGCGTGTATTTACATCGGTCCCATCTATTCATTTCCATGTTTGTGAACTGTTTTCGCTCGAGTTCAATGACATCGGCTATGAACTATCAAAAATATTGAATTCCACAGAGCTGCAAAGTATTATAAACCGATAATATCGAATACATGATATCCAGAGAATACTGTACTGTTTTGTGTTTTGTGTTTTGTGTTTTTTTTTTTTTTTGGGGGGGGGGAATCATTGGGGCATAAGCAGGTCACTTTCTTTCTTTGACTTGGTGAAACTTGGTTCAAGTTACTTTGAAGATTAACTTGAACTTATGAACATGTTGCATCGCGGCGCTGGTATTAATAGTGACACAATTTCCCGTGAGTCGTCAGCCTTTCAAGCATTATTGTAAGAAATTTACTGGAATTTACTCAAAATTTACACCTTAATTTTGGACATTTAAATTGTTGTAAAACACAAGAAATTTTACTCATCAAAGTTGGTCATTGTGAAAGTTACGACCTGTCAGTCATGGCAGTTAAAGAAGCTACCTGCATGAACCTTCCTACGTCCTCTAAAACTTACTCCTCAGATGAATATGTGTAGATTATGTAGTGATTTCATATGGCCTAGTAAAGCACAGCACTTGAAATACAAATCAAGACAAAAAAAACACCAGGCAATATTTTGCGAAGCTCCCATTATTCTGGTACATGTATATTTTTAAAGACATAAACATTTTGAAATATTTGGGGATTTCTGCTGTAAAAGGGTAAAAAAATTGGTCAATCTTATTTATGTGTATTTTTTTACATAATATTTCACCATTGATGAAATAAATATACTAATTCAAACAGACTATTTCATCTTCTCCTTCCCACTGAAATGACAGAATGTGCACTACAGGGATAATATAGTATACGATATTTATTACGATGTTTGCCCTATTGGTCTATTTTGTGTTTTATACATCTAGGCTTACCCAGAGAGAAAGGAATTGTGTGATTCTATTATATTGACACTAGCCTGTCTTCTGTCTGACAGGTTTAGGTATAGTTTGAATCTGATTGCATAAATTAGATTTGAGATTAGAATTTGCGAAAGAGGGATCAAAGAACTTTAAAAAAAAAACTGGATTATTGTCAACGTGTTTCAGGAAAGGGATTTTCTTTAAATTTTGTATTTTAACTTGACTCTGATCACTTATGGTTCCCAAAGCTATTTACAAATTATTGTGCGTATGTTTCTTGATAATGGATAATGTTTTCGGTGATGGCATAGTGCCACATACATGTGTGTACAAACAAATTGTTTCGTCAAATTAGATAAGGAAGTCACTCATTATGTTGTATGAAAATCTGTATACAGAGGTTTACGGTGTATGCAAACGATCCCTGTTTTTTTATAAAATATTGTCCAATGATTTTATTGTTCAATGTGCAGTGTCATCTATTCTACACTATTGAATTCAAACTGTAGTTGCAATGGTTGTATCCATGTTTACCAACTGAAAGAGCTTGAGCTAAATGAAAGTTGCAACTTTCATCTAGAGTAAAAATCTGTTTTAAAAGTTTTCACTGAAATCAGATGAATCCATACATTGCTTCATGAACAAACCAAAGAGAGGGAAATACTGATTCATATGTATTATATCTTGTTGATGTCTAGTTTATTAATGAAGTATGTTCAAGTTTTGAGTGCTAAAAGGGAGAAAATCTTGCCTTTTGTACATTGTAGTCAGTCAAATGCAAATGTACATGTGATTATTTCTCTGTGTGTTAAAATGAATAAGAAATGTGCCGGTATAAACATAATGTGCCATGATTGCTTAATTGCTTGAGGAACGTTTTTTTCCACACCATTGAGGATTTTTTTCTTCATATCCACCATTGCAATAGTTCATGGATGTTTTGATATGTACTGTATACATTCATGTAATACATAGCGCAATGCCAAGGTTAAAAAAAAACTTAATAAAGATGAAAGTATTCACAATTATGTGGAAAGACATGTGAATAGTTGCCACAATGTGTCATTACTTAACACTTCTTAGACAAATCTTTAATATGCCTATATGGGATGAAAATAATATCTGGCAGCTAAATGGTAGCCTCCCAAGGGAAAGAAAATATATAATATTAATATTCAGTGGGCCTACTTCTGCAGTGCCAAGAATCAAAGGGATAGAGAAAGAGAGAGGGGAGAGAGGGAGTAGAGAAAGGGGTAGAGAGAAAGAAGGGGAGAGGGGGAGTGTGAAAGAAAAAGAGAGGGTGGGAGAGAAGGGGATAGAGAGGGGGAGAGTGAAAGAAAAAGGGGGAGAGAAAAAGAGAAGGGGATAGAGAGAAAGAGAGAAAGAAAGGGAGTGTGAAAGAAAAAGAGAGGGAGAGAGAGAAGGGGATAGAGAGAAAGAGAGAGGGAGTAGAGAAAGGGGTAGAGAGAAAGAAGGGGAGAGGGGGAGTGTGAAAGAAAAAGAGAGGGAGGGAGAGAAGGGGATAGAGAGAGGGGGAGTGGGAAGAGAAACACAAAGACTGAGAATTTACGAGTGTGTGTAAAGAGAAAGTGGGAGTGATTTATATAGATAGAGCCTAAATAATTTGATATATTCTTTCTATCACAGAAAGAGACAAAACTAGCCTAATACCACAAATGATATTTAACAAAATAGTCTAGCTCTTTTAGTCTTTATGCAAAAAAGACCCTAAAATTTCAGCTGCCGCTCTTATTCCAATATTCAAGTCATCAAACATCTGTATGGGACTTGGAAAAGGGCATAAACAATATATGTAAAGATATTTTTCACCAAAACTAACAATAAAACCCTGGTTTCTGGACGTCCCTTCCTCCAATTGCAATAGGAGCTTGTACACAATACGTATGCGCAGGCGATTTCTTGTACTACGCAAAATGGCGGCGGGCGCACTCGAGCGGTGCCATTGCGCTGCGTGAAACGTGAACGGACACAATCCTTCTACTTGGTTTGAGTTCGTTGGTACGTACGAGTATACACGTATCGCCTGCGCCTAGCTAGCTGACAACAACGCGTCGCGACGATATCGACAAAGTCGGAGAATGGGTGAGTAATTGATTGCAATATGAGTAGATTTAGTGAATTTAGTGATTAATTTTGAAAAATTTGTAATAGTTTTCGTGATCTTCGGTAATTTCTTTTCATTTTGAGACTGTTCTCAACAGATATTTGGGGAAAAGGCTAGGGAAATATTTCTCTTCAAATTGCACTTTGATTTTCATCGTCGTGAAGTAGTTTGACTGCGGTTTGCCGTCATGTCACCCAGTTGGGGCCCGGGGTTCCGGCAGGCCCACCCCGTGGAATTGCGGTGCTCATCTGCAAATTTGATCGTCATCATGAATCTAATTCATCAATCATTGATTGAATTTAAATCTAGATTTAACGTACACCTTCAAATAATCTATGAAGTATGATTTCTTTATTAATCCAAGTGGGTTAATTCTTGTTAAAATCTTTAGTAGTCCCTTCTTCTAGACGTGGACTCCGTTGAGGTACTCCCCCCCCCACTGAGCAAAACATTTGATTGATTTCCACCCCATGTTAAATTTAACGCCAACCATGACATAAAAAATAGCTTTAAGCTTGATCTATTTTATTGTTAAGGAGAAAGGGATGCCTTGATTATTGTATTGGTTTTTTCCTTCTTTTTATTCCAACAGATTGAAACTAAAGAGCTAAAAGAAGTTAACAACATGAAGCAGAAAGTCCCATGCAGGTAAAATTACCAGGTTATTTAGCACACAAATATTAAACGATCACCTACATCATACATGTATTAATTCACTAAAAAATTAATGGAACTAAGTTGACGTTGCAATTATAGCGCTTAGAGACTTCGGTGGTGAGCGCTTTATAAGTAACATTTTTATTATTATTTTTATTATTATTAGCGTATATAGTGGAGGGTATATTTTATTCTAGTTCTGCACCTAGCATACAATTTCAATTTCAATTTCAAATTTATTCACATTTCCAACAAAACATTACAAATAATTATAAGCATTTAAAACAAATTTAAGAAATACATGTTGGAAACAGAGGGGTCCACTAAAAAGCAATGCTTGTACAAGTGTGAACACCTCAAATGAAACTTAGGAATAATGAGTAATTAAATTTACTATTCTGTAATGACAAAAGGAAATACAAAATAGGGGAAAGAAAAATGGGGATGCCAACAGAGACGAGAAAGGGACAAGACAATACTTTACACGACAAAAATAGAAGAACATGGTCATAATTATACAAAGAGTAGACAATGACAAAAAGAAGTGAGAGATCGAGGGTACAGAAAAAAATACTAAATGATGAGCTGCATGTGGGGTTGAGAAGAAGATAAGGAAAGAGAAATATTGATGTCTTTAATTTTTTTGGTTTACAAAGGAAAATGTGTCCTTATTTAAAGGAGGTCCTGTGTGCCCGCCCCCCCACCCACTCAGTGTTATTTGGGGTATGCGTATGCGTGTTCCCTCCTTTTGAAAATACCCCCCTAAGTCTGGTGTGTAAAGTCAATACGGGCCGGATTTTTGTGTACTATGAGCCAGACTTCTCATTACCCCTCATTACTCTTTTGTAAGGGCTCCTTTCACTTCTTGAGCAATGAAGATGAAGAAGAACACAAAATAAGATGAAAGTCTGTTTATAGGATGTATTATGGTTGATATGTATCCATTAGTATCAGTTTTAAATTGAAGTACCTACTTTGTTTTCGGTCATGTAGGATGATGCTTCTCTACAGTGGGTGATGAAGGCATGCTGGTTTACAAACTCAGGAGAGGAACAAAGAAGAGATATTGACGGGATCATATCTAGAGATGCGGGCCTACTACACTTCATACGAGCAAGTGTGCTAATATACATGTAGGTACCCCAATAAACTGTTGTGGAACACATGTCATGCAGAAAATTATAGATCTGACGAAGATATTTTTCATTGTCAGTTGACTTGTAAAAGAATAATTGACTGAATATCACAATTGTGATTTAGATTAAAAATTAAATGTCAATATAGATGAAATATAAGTCTACGTTACGTTACGTGTGTTTCAGTAGCATTATTTCCAGTATACTCTCTGGTCCAAGTTGTTGGGTCATTTTATGTCCCATACTTAAAGATGAAGTTGAGTTCTGGTCATGCAATTGCATTGTGAAAGAAACGGTGTGGAAACGACCAGAAAATGTTGATCATCTAGCATATAAGAATTTGTGTGTATTGCAAGGTTCTGCAATCATCAAAATGATAAGAAATTTGGCCAAGTCTTGGTAAAGTTACAAAGGCTGTACACAGAAAGATGTATATGGGACTACACGAACACGTGGCGTAAAAATCCTACCCCCGAGTTTTACGATGTTACATGACATATTTAGAATATAAAGGCATTTGAAGAGCCATGCTTTTCAGGGAACATGTCTTATCTGATGTTCTTCCACACTTGCATGATAAGAATGATAACGCTCACAAATTATTTTTCACCTCTTCCCAGAACTCAACCTTCTCTTTAAAGGTAATACACAGTTTTAGTATGGGGTCATAAATTTGGTTCAAATGAACATATTGGACGCATATGAGATCCTACAGTATTCAGTGATCGTTGTCGCGGTTGTAATCGAGTCTAAAATTATGAAATTGTAAATAATAAACTCTTTATGTTGTATAGCTCCCTCTCAAGGTCAAGATATAAATTTTTCTTGACTAAAATCGACCAATTTGCTATTCTCGTTTGGAAGTTATATATCACATCTACATATTCTGAGATTTTCATGGTCGCAGCTACCATTTGAAATTTATCAAAATTTACCGGGAGCACCAGTAAATATTTATATTCAATTTTTCTCGAAAGCAGAAGTGTTTTAGAGGCTAAGTTTTCTAGTGCTTATAATACATCCACAGGGGCATTCAAATATATCAAAATTGTAAAGAATCACTATCCACCCAATTTTCAAAATTTCGTAAAACTTTGTATTACCTTTAACCGAGTATTATTCAATAATGAGCACGAGTTTACATCACAAGTACATTGTATTACTTATTTCATACCTTGTCTGAACCAAACTCCAGCAGTCCTATCGTCTCAATGGGATCATCAGAAATAATCTAAAATGTGGTCAGAAACTAGTCTTGTACGAAAAATAGTTTCGGTTTGCCCAATAGAACCCCAAGTGAATTTCAATCCTTCCTTTTTCTGAGCAGGTATCAGGGTGTGTGTTATTAGTCGTCATTGATTTTCTTATATCTTATTTCATTTTTCCATTCAACAGACTTGGGTTATCACTACAGCCCTTTCTTCTGAAAACTAGGCTACAACTTTACTGATGAATGCAGAAGACATCTACACGGGACTACGTCTTAAAGATGCCACCCTCATATTATGCAAGAGTACAATAGAGATGGGTTTAAACTGGAATATTTACATGATATTTATTTGTAGAATACCACATTCAATAAAACCAATGAAGTTTATTATCTTGTCAACGTAGAAATAATTAAAGATAACTAATCCTCAATGAATAAACATTAAAATTCTAACAATGTAAACTACCATCTTATAAGATGAAACTGAGGACTGGGCAGAAAGATTCTCCTTGAAATTTGAGTGATAAAGATCTATCAGTCATATCAAAGATTGAATTAATTAATGATATTTTAATTATAATTATACTTGTTGAAATTCATTTACCTCTATGGACGGGGGGGGGGGGGCTTGCTATCCTCTTCCTGGTGCTGTTATTACATGGTCCATGTAACGGGTTGCAATAGTGTAAACATATGATTATATGTTTATATTAGAAGGACATAGAAAGTGAAAAGTTTTGAATTATAGCATTAGTGTTGGTAGAAGTAACGGCAGTGTTGATTGTTAATGGGAGGGGGGGGGGGGGGTTGTTTCCCCAGTGAAATTAACGGTATACCAATGTAAAGTTAATTAAAAAAAGAGAAAACTATTCTTAAAAATAAAAATTATACAGGACATGGCCTCCTAACAAAAACCCTGGTACCACTTCGGTGGTGGTGTTGTGTTTTTTTTTTTTTTTTTTTTTTTTTTTGGGGGGGGGGGGGCAAACCAATTAAAAATTTCTAGTGTTAAATTCAATTGTCTTTAAAAAAAAATTATGTAAAGATATTGAAATTAAACAATGGTTCACTTTCCTTTTTTCAAGTTAGAAAACTTGAATAAAATGATAACCCTAAATTAAAAATGTTCTACTTCTAGCAAAGCTTCTGCAAAGGCTGCAAAAGGTAGAGTGAAGAGAATCCAATTGAAATGTGGACAGTAATGGAGTGAATATGGAATGGTTGATCGTAGTTGATAACGAGGGAATGCAAATGAGTGGTAACAAGTACGACTGAAAGTGAGACGGAAAGGAATTGCAAGAGGTTGTTCAGACAATGGAACAAACCTTGCAGAAGATAATTTTCGGAGAGAAAGAGAGAAAAGGGGAATCATTAAAAAAGGAAAAGGGGCACCTATCAGTAGGAAAAGGGTACTTACAAGAAAGGAAAAGGAGGCATGTGTCATAAGGACATTGATGAAAAAGGAAAAGGGCTCTTATTTAAAAGGTAAAAGGGCACATATCAAAAGGTAAAAGGGCACTTATTAAAAATTATAAGGGGACGCGTGACAAAGTAAAGAATAAAAAAGGCTTTTATCAGATATCACAAGAGGCACTTATGAAAAGGGAACAGTGGCACTTATAAAAGGTAAAAGGGGCATCTGTCAGATTTGAATAGGGAGTAATTAACGCAGGTGGTAAGGGGGCGTTTAATAAGTAGGCCTATGTGAAAGAATGTGTTTTTATCTCGAGTTTGTCTCATCATGCGTGGGATCTGTGGGTGCTGGGGTTCCTGAAGCAACCCTATACATGTATTTTCTTCAGTGGGTGCATATAACCCATGGACATTTTTGTAAACCTTCAAATGATGAATTATCATCGAGTCCCCCCCTCATTTTTTTTGTCAGCTCGTGACAAACATAATCCAGATGAAATAATTTCTTCACAGCATATCAGTGGCGGATCCGGGGGGGGGGCGAAACGGCCGCCCCCCCCCCCCTATTGGCGGCGCAAAAAAAAGGAAGAAAAAAAGAGGAAGAAAAGAAGAGAAAAAAAGAAAGGAGAAGAGGAGAAAAAAAGGAGAAGAGAAAAGAAAGGAGGAGAGAAAGGAAAAAAGAAGAGAAAAGAAAAGAGAAGAGAATTAAAGAAAAGAGAAGAGAAAAGATAACGAAATTATTGAATAGAGGGGGGGGGGGGGGGCCGGGCCGGCCGCATAAAATCTCGAGCCGCGGATTCAAAGTTAAACGTTAAGAACAGCCCCTGCGCTACAAAGGTCATCACTCTGAAGTGAGAAATTTGAAAGGGCACAATATTTTGGGTGTCTTTTAAATAGAAGTTATATACTCAACAGTCAAATTCTAAATTAACGGTAGGGCCGCTTCAAAACTCTTATTTTGCCCTTCATTTGGATTCAGCTCATACCAACTCGCTTGTGCTTGTATTTGAACTCATGTTGGTAGTAATCATGGACAGGGGCGGCAATCCTGGGTCCGATAGGGGGACACGTCCCCCAGGAAATTTAGAAATATAGCTAGAAAGAAATATAGCGAAAAGAACGTACATATTGGGCTCAGGGATTTTCTAGAATGCATAATTTCAGCATTCAACATTGAAAAAATCTCGCTTGGTCGCTACGCCCCGGCCGGCCGCGGCCCTCGCCCGATAACACAAAACTATGACGCTCCCGGCCGTGATTTATCCATGGTTGGTGTAATAGATCTTTTTTCCATTTCATTTCTACTAACCTAATTGTGTGCCATCACAATCATGATTGTTTCATTTTCCCTTTAAAGCAGGCGCGTAGCCAGAGGCGGTAGGGGCAGTAAGATGACATAGGACGAAAAAGGAGCAGACAAAGAAACATTTTTGAAAATTCTGACAAGTCGAGAACGGTACAACGAATCGTCTTCTTTCTCTAATAATTTAATGAAATGTCAAAGCTTCCGCGCATCGCTCGGGAGGGGGGCAACTGAATGCAGAAAAGGATTGGGAGTCGAGAATGGTAAAACGAATCGTCTTCTTTGTCTGATAATTTAATGAAACGTCAGAGCTTCCCGCGCGAAGGAAAACTGAATTCAGACAAGGAATACGAGTCGAGAATGGTACAACAAATCGTCTTCCTTCTCTAATAATTTAATGAAACGTCAAAGCTTCCGCGCTTCGCGCGGGAGGGATAAACTGAATTCAGACAAGGATTAAGACTATAGAACGGTACAACGAATCATCTTTCTCTAATAATTTCAATTTAAACTATAAAAGGTCAAAGCTTCCGCGCTTTGCGTGGTAGGGGGAAAAACTGAATTCAGACAAGGAATACGAGTCGAGAATGGTACAACAAATCATCTTCTTTCTCTAATAATTTAATGAAACGTCAAAGCTTCTGTGCTTCGCGCGGGAGGGGGAAAACTGAATTCAGACAAGGATTAAGACTATAGAACGGTACAACGAATCATCTTTCTCTAATAATTTCAATTTAAACTATAAAAGGTCAAAGCTTCCGCGCTTTGCGTGGGAGGGGGAAAACTGAATTCAGACAAGGAATAGGAGTCGAGAACGGTAAAACAAATCGTCTTCTTTCTCTAATAATGAATAAAAGGTCAAAGCTTCCGCGCTTCGCGCGTAATTGGGAGGGGGTGGCAGCGAGCTGCCCGAATATGAGTTTTTTTTTTAATATCTTTTCACGTTTATTTTGGTGATAAATAACACTTTCACAATATTATGGTCAAATTGTTGCTCGCTCACTAGCCGAATTGTGAAACCAGAAAATTACTTTTTCGGGCAAAAGGCTATAGCCCCCCCCCCCGATGAAAATGTCCAAAATTGTACCGGTATGGTGCTTATAATATGACCTTGAAAAAACGGTCTGCGCAATTTTGGAATTTCCGCCCCCCATTTGATAGGCATTTGATTACGGTCAGATGAACATATTTGTATACCTTATTTGTGACACTGGCAAGACACTGATTTGCGTGAGGTCCAGCGGGCTGAGCCCCCACAAGCTCAAGGGTTTTAGGCACTAAATTACGGTCGGATGAGTATCAAGGGGCCCACTTAGGGCCCGTTTTAGGCGTTTAATTACTTTAACTACTCTGTCTTTCTTGCTCTCTTTCTTTCTATTTCTCTTTAATATACTTTTTCAAAAATTTCGGGCGGGGGTGGGGGAGGGAGCTGGAAGCTCCCGATCCCCACCGTTCCGCGGGCCCTGACATGTAGGCATCTCAAGAGGCATATTTCTTGCCTGTCTGTAAATTTAGGAATTTGTCATTTTACAACAAACGCATAAAAAAATATAATTTACTAAAGAATGAGAAAAAATCTCGGAAAATTATGACATTTCAGCATTAAGTGTAAACCACCGTTATGGAATTAGAAATAAACCACGATTAAATGTTATTTCCCCCGAGCCCCCCCCCCTCTTGTTGGCGGAAAAATCGCAACTGATCTCCCCTACCTTTCTTCTTTCTCTTTTTTTCTTTTAAGTTTGCTGGGGAGGGGGGAGGGGGGGGGGGGCAAGGTCCTTTCGGCCCCAACCTTTTACACACTTGTTGGCGGGATTAACCGTAAATGATCTATTTCCCCTTCTTTTCTTTTCTTCTTCTCCAATTTCCTTACCTTTATCTCCTCTTTTCCTTTTTTCTTTCCATTTCTTTCCTTCTCTCTTATTTTTTTTCCTTCTCTTTTTTTAAAGTTTAGTGGGGAGGGGGCGAGGGAGGAGGCAAGGTCCTTTTGCCCCACCCCACCCCGATCCACAACTTGTTAGCGGGAAAATTGCAACTAATACCCCCTTCTTTTCTTTTCCTCTTCTCCAATTTCCGTCCCTTTATCTCCTCTTTTCCTTTTTTCTTTCCATTTCCTTCCTTCTCTCTTATTTTTTGATTTGGGGGGGGGGGGGGGGAGGCAACAGCCTAGGACGCCCCCCGATCTCCTTATTCCCCCTTTTTTTCCCTTTCTCTCCTCTTCCCCCCTTTTTTTTCCTTCTTTTTTTCCCCTTCTTTTTTCCCTTCTTTTTTTTCCAGGGGGGGGGGGGGCAGGCGGGCCCCCGGCCCCCTGGACCCGCCTCTGCTTTCGCCCCCCCCCAAGTCAAAAGCCTCCCCACCCCCACCGAACTACAACTTGTTGGCGGGAAACTTGTTACTGATATCCCCCTTATTTTGTTCTCTTCTTCCTCTTTTTTTTCCTTCCCTTTATCTCCTCTTTTCCTTTCATTTCTCTCTCTTTTTCCTTT